GAGCCAGTGAATCGTTCCATCCGAACAGTGATTGGATGCCTGCAAAAGAAAGGTATCGTAAAATATCTAATTCTAATTATAAAATTACATAATGTTTTTTTTTTTACTTTTTTAGCCTATGAGTCAGGAATGCCAATTGCATCCCTGTGTGTTTACAATTTTCGTTCGTTTTTGTCCTATTCTTCTTTCATACCTACAGAAATCTTTTCCTTCTCGACTTATCTTCTTCCTTATCTTCTTTTGGCCTCCTACCCCTATTCCCGTTTCCTTTATCATCTCCTTTTATCTTCCTTTCCCCAAATTCCTAAAATTTCCTCCAAATTATTACATCATCCCATGGGGCGCCCTAACTCCCTTTATAAACCTCTTCATCTTTCTTCTTGGCCTTAGTTTCTTCTACCGGCCTCAGTTTTTCTCGACCAGCATCGATTCCGTCGACCCCAGCACGTCAGCTACGACATCCGCCGACTCAATCTATGGGCACGACTGAGACTCCCTTCGTTTCAAAGCCAGAATTATTCAACCTCGGAGCCCCCTTGCTAAATCCCCTGCTCAGCAGGCCATCCCGTTCGTTAGTGCCCAAGCGTCACGCTTTGTGTATTATTTCTATTGCCTGTGTCGTAAAAAGACATAAAACTTTTCATTTCCCCAATTGGTTCTCTAATCTACGCACCACGCCACACAGCGATCCATGCACGTGAACAACTGATCCCATAAAAATTTTTACTGTATATCAATAAGAGATGAAATAAGAAAAATAATCAAAAAAGAAGGTAAGAAATGAGAACTAGAAAATTAAAAAAGTTTTGGAAATACGAAGCTTAAAAGCTTAAAAAACCGGAAACCTAGACACAAAAGCCCCTCAAACCAGTATATTAATATTTAAATGCCCCATCCACTGACTTCTACATGCCAAGAAATGTAACTGTATTTTTTGAACTGATCGCAATTCCCCTACCACAGATTAGCTGTCTGATAGTCGACATGGGTCATGTAGAAATTATAGCCAATCCAATTTAATGCGAAAAAGCGAACGCGAAATGTGAAAAAGGCATCAAAACTGAGAATTCCTGTCATACCTGAGATCCGAGTTGATACTAGTGCCAACTCAGCCCTAACTACACAAAACCAACGCAATGAAGAAAGATGGCTAAGCTGACCATATCCAGTTCTTCAGAACCAAAACCCGCGCAGAGGCAAATTCCTGTTGACGGGGAAGAATTAAAAC